ATCTTTGACTTTTCATAGTGTAGTGAGGCGTTTAATTGGGCCGTTGAAATGAACGGTAGTAATACAAACGTGACTTTATCCAGAAGTGCTTGGCAGTTCGGAATAACTTTGATATATTTATTTATTTATTTTTTATTTATTTATTCTCATCATGTAAAAACATGAAACTTGTCTCCTCGTTCTGCACACAAATATGATCAAGACGAATACCACGATATGATCAAGACATTGTGGCCAACGGTGGCGGTTGTGACAACCGTGGCCATTATTGTGTGACAATCGTGACAATGAATACCACGATGCTGACAAACGGAGCAATTGTAACCGTTGTAACAATCATGGCAATTAATACGATGACAAGCAGAGTAATGGTAACGATTGTGACAATTTGTCGGTTCTGACAATAATCATTGTTGAAAAAATATACAAAAATGACAAACATAGCGATTATAGTGGTTGCGACAATCGTGACAATTCTGACGGTTGTTGCAATTAATACGATGACAAACAGCGACTGTAACGATTATGACAATCGTGACAGTTGTAACGCTTGTCAGAAGCGTGACGATTAATTCGATGGTGACAATCGTAACGATTGCAACGGTTGTGACAATCGTCATAATTTGTTTACGGCTATGACAGTCATGACACAATGTTGGCTGAATTATAATGGTTGTGACATTTTTTTGAATTTTCTTTTTTTCAGTCCTCCCATTTCATCCTCGGAGTTATGCTCAGTTCTTTCCATAAAATGCGGTTTTTTTATTGCCATTACGATTTTGCCCCCCAAAAATCTACATTTTCATGATTTCAAGCAAGTTGACGATTTCCTCTGAACATAGACGTCAATCGGTGGGGGACGGCGGCAAATCCCCCTCCCCCACTTTTGAGAAGCTATCGACGCCCGTGCCTCGAGTTTATAGTCGATGACCATACGTGCGACAGACATCTGCACACTGAAGGAAAGGGTTGAACTTCAAGGCCACTTATCATAATTAAAATGTTCATCATGAGGCGTCTTGTTTCGTAAGAAACGCTCAGCTAATACTACAGTCATCTTTGATGGGTGGACCAGGGCCTAATTGTAGATATAGCAACAGGTTTGTTATATGCTACAAAACCAGCGTTCAGTCCGATGGGACGCACTGCAAAATCTAATAACAATAGTGGCAGCTTGGACGGCAAACACTGCCGACGCGGCTCGGCGACGTTAGGCCAAACAAAAAAGTCTCCGGTTTCTGGTATGCGCGCGCGTCGCCGTAGCCATGCCCGTCGGCAAAATGATTTTTTTTTTTCAATGAAAGATGATGTCTCAAAACCGCCAAACTCACTGGTTTGACTGGAATCCTGCTGCTGCACAATTTTAACGTGTTTTTAGATTGGGTCATGGTCGAGAATAAGCTTTATGTGGCCTCTCTGGACTCCCATATATTTGCACTAAGTTTAGTCGGGCACCATTTGCAGTCATCAGCCGACATTTGAAGCAAAAAAATCAGCTAAAAAAAAAAAAAAGCCGCGTCACCGCACCACTTTTTGGGCAAGCTCCATACCAGAAACCGGAGACTTTTTTGTGGCCTTATAGGCCTAAGTAGTTTTACTTTTCGTCCACTGTTCAATTTTTAATTTCAAGCCGGCGCGCTACGATTAATGCACACGAGAATGGACAAATAATTGTTTGGGCGCACTTATGAATCAAGGAATTCCACGTGAATGGGTGTTAAATGATATCTAGACGAAAAAAAAAAGTAATGGAGTGATACCAAGATATCTTGAATTGTGGCTGATTAAATATTCCGCTTGATAGCAGATGTCGGTATTCTCGCCAAAGGTTTAGGTACTCGGCACATTATGTGATGACAACGATATAGGTCTATTATTATTTTAAGCTTATTTAATTCTGCTCCATTTCATACAAGCACCAAAATAACATAAATAACCTCCAAAATGCATCCATGCATATGAAACAAAGAACACAATGAAAATACATCTATAAATATCATGTATTCATAATAAATCAAAAAAAATAATAGCGTAGTATTTCACTAGTATTCAATTGTTTCATTTAAAACAGCAACGATGATCATTCGCGTTCTTTAGGGATTGATTGGTTGTCAATAAAAAATGATGTAAGGCCAATGTTATTAATTTCCTAATTTAACAATGAATTAACTTAGAAAGTCCAGCAAATGTGATGTTGCACTTGAAATACAACAAATGAATAATCGTACATGTCGATAGTGCTTTCCGGTTGCTCGCGATTAGAAAGCCTACACAAAAAAGTGAGATTCGAGAGGGTTGCAGGCTGCGTACCGGTAGTGGGTCTATACGTTTTCTTCAGTCAGATAATCAACGTATGTTGCATTTTAATATGGTAGCAATGCACTTTTTTATCGATCGCATTATACGCTTACTGCTGTATCAACGTCTGACGCCAATATAACCTGTATTGCCTGGTTATTAACATTGATTAAAATTAATTAGAACTAGTGGTTTGGTGGGTTTTTGTTATCAACCCGATCGCCTGATTCCGTCAAGTTTAAAAGGTGATCTTTTTGTGCCCGATTAACCAACAAAAACAAAGAGAAGGGGTTTGCCCCGGTGTTTCTGGCCTCCTGTTATTACTCCCATGCGGAATCCTTAGTAAAAGACTAGAACCAACCAAGAACAAACCAAGAAGAACCACGACAAAACCAAAGGGTAATCGGAGATCAGCCCGATCACCCAATAAATCCAGCAGTTTGCTTACATCTACAGAGTAACGAATTGGGTTCATCAGCTGTACCGTGTTGGGTGGTGCAAAAAAGAAGGAAACCCACTTTTGACAGCAATTTTCACCTACTCTTTGATCATATTTCAAAAATTCAATTGAATGGTATTAAAGTATTGATTTTTAACCATAAGTGACGAAAAAATTATTCCAAATGCATCTCTGAGATATGGTAGTTTAAAACTTTCAAGTGCCAAACCTGTTTGTCCACGGACGGCTTTATTCCATGCGCTTGACTGAGCTCCGGAGCTTGATTTGAAGACCGTAAAGCCTGCCGGTAATGCTGAGCCTGCATACTGCCAAAGTTACCAGTGGCATCCCTACTGCAAATAGGACCCATTTTTGGACCCTAATTTTATCAAATCTGCTCTTAGATAATAGCCCAAAAGCTAGGGAGATGATCCTCGGCTATATTCGCACGATTCCACCGATTTTTAAACTAGACGGTCTCGTTTCTTACAAAAAATTGTGGGGGCACTTTTTATGCAAATTACCGACTCGGACGCGTAGAAATTTTTGAAACCCTAATCTAAATTATTGCGCCCGCTGTCGGTCTTATTGCGCCATTCTGATATATCTTGTGTCTGGCACCCCTCCCCCCCCCCCCCCCAGCCAGCCACTCCCCCCCCCCCCCCCACCACCACACCAAAAAAATAATAGTAATTAAATACTGTTAAAAATATGCTCGTTTATTTAGAAATTCATGAAGCATATTCAAACTGATTGGATTTTTCCAAAGTGTCTTTGCCATTTGCAAAAGTTCTTTTTAAAAGCCCATCAACCGCAAAAAAACACTACACTAGACTTACACGTAGACAACAGTGAGTTTAGTGACTTGTATTCAAATTATTCTTGCGATTGTTTTAATGATTTTTTTAACCACGTTCAAATAAGTTAAGTAAGTAGGTTAAAATTCCTGTCAAATGTAAAAAAATTCCTGTATAAAATATGTTTATGCTGTCGACACAGGCCGACGGGGGGGGGGGGGGAGGGAGGGGAGGGGAGGGGGGCGTGTGGAAGGTAGAGTGTGAATCGTCCACAAATCTTTGCTCAAAAATGCTTTCAATGAATTGTTCTTCCTGCTATATAAATCATTAGTATTGATAAATTTACATTGATAAATTGTTCTCAAAAGCCAGCTAGTCAACCAAATTATGAAAAGGAAAAAACCCACTGTTTGATCGCTGTTTACTTTATTTGAACTTTGAACGGTTGTCTCGGAAGGGGTAAGATACATAATGGAAGACATGATCTAATAGTTCGCGGCTACACTGTATTGTAATTAATTGATTTATTTCCTTGTAATGTATGGATGTAAGAAAGTACTGTATAGGCCTATGTATACTCATACGAATGGGAATATTTTTGCTGTTAATTTTATTTCTTTTCAATTTAATTAGTATAAGTGTATTTACCTGATAGAATTCAGCCTATTGAATGTATACATATTCATTTATTACCTTACTTTGTAATTACGGGTTCCAGGTCTTGTACAAGCATATGCTTTTTATCTGGATCCCTCGTATCATATTTTGTCATTCTTTATATAGTTTCCTGTTTATTATGTTTTTTGTGCTATGATATGAAAATAAACCATAACCATAACCATAAGTTTTCTGCATTAAGATACATTAAGAGGAAAACTGGTGAGGCACGAGTTTGGCGATGCCACTGCTTCCGATGTGATCCCATGAAGAGTTCTTTTGCAGAAAATAGAACGCTCCCTGGAAAAGAGTTGCACTATAACCCGAGTCAAAGTAGTCTTTATTCATTTTAGTAGAAAATGTGTGAACATGTTTCTTCATTTTATTCATGAGTAATGATTGAAACAAATAGGCAACTTGTTTGTAATTTGATGACGTCACACTTGGATAAACATATCAGTATTAGGGTTGATGTTCATATTAAGTTTCAAATTAATTCGTCGTTCCGTTTGAAAGAAACTCTATACGGAGAATTATCGTCTATAGAAAAAAAAACAGAAAAACATACAATGAAGAAAGACAAACCCAAAGGATGATAGGGGATCAGCTCCATCCACCATCAGCCAATAAAGCTAATATCCTCAAGCCAATGCTAACATTCAACCTCCCAGTAATGGGATGTTGGTATCGTCAGACACGACGGTCAAACATTTACCCTCCATTTTTTATTTCACGTTGTTTACGAACTTAACTTCTGCAAACGATTCCATAATTGATGGTAGGAGAAAGATCACAAACTTTTTTCTTACCTGCTTTTTGAGAATCACGCAGTTCTTGGTCACTCGCCGATTAACGGATGAAGCTTCTTGAAAAGTCGGATTGATGTCAAACACTCAGCTTGATCAAATTTGTTTATCGTGCACCGAGAAAGTCCAAGCAATACGTCTAACCAGGCTTTGAACATGACATTTTCAGTAGGCCTATTATGGGAGGCTCAACTGCTGCAGAATTGACTTTGAAAAAGATGAAACAAAATTGGCTCCCGTTGAGAGAACGCGTCACTTTTAGACGAAGCCTTTGGGTAGTATCTGCAAGCTGGGATTCTGAAATACCGACAGTCTGGATCACGCAGTGAAGTGTGGAATCGATATCCGGTATACGCATGCCCCTGACACTATTTCAACAAGTCCTCAGCTGGCTGGGCACGGTGCTTGTTTTCCCGCCAATTTCATCTGACGGTTTGATCTCCGTCCGCAACTTCTGAGGTATCATGATCCTCGTCGTGTCCTCGTCCCAGACGATTTTGTGATTGACACCGTGTAGCTCACAGACTCTTTAACACAGCGCGCTTCATTCAGGCAGCGCGTGCCACCGCGCATAAATGAATAAATTACAGCTGCTCCACCTGGGCATTCATGCGCACTGGTGACGTCTGTGATTAGTATTCACGCCCACACGCAGAGGTTTGATAGCTCTCGTTTTAGATTGGCAGACACAAACTGGGTCATTGGTTTGCGCATGAAATGGCTAGTCGCATTTCCAAGATAGTTGGCCCTGTGCGTGACAGAGACAAATACCTGTACCAAAATCCCCCTCCAAGGAACAAGCCTGCAAAACATTTCCAGGAACAAATTTACGTCCTCTCAATTCCAAATTCTATCCGGAAGGGTACACCCCTAGAAGACCTAAGTGACTTCGGTCAGTGACATCAGGGACTAATTGAATTGGAAAGAATTGTAATAGGATCCGACAAATTGATGGACCGCAGATGATGTATTACCTATAGTTGCATAAAGGATTCTGGTGTAATTTAGCTGCAGTTGAAGGCGCGTTCCCCGGGCTGTTTTCGAGTATAACCTCGCAAAAAGATATTTTCTTGTCCAATTGATATTTTCCTAGCAATATAAATGTTATTCACTTTGGAAAGAGACACTGAACGAACCAATCCACCGATGTCTGCTTTTTGAACCATTTCTTTACAAAATTTGATAGTAGTTGCCAGACAACAATTCAGCTCTCGCAGGGCGGGTTTATTTTGTGCGCAAAATAAAACTCCATTTAAAATTCAAATAAAATTTGTTTGGAGAATTTTTTTTTTAAAAGAACACGGGGCATGCAGCTTTATGTTCATTTTTTATTATAGGTACTCAAATTGATAGCCTTGTTTTTTTGTTGCAGTCAGATAAGTTAACGGGTACTGGCCGTGCTGAGTTTTGTTTGTTGACTTAATTATAGAAATGTGAAAACCATTGATGAACAACGTGTATACCTTGCATGCCATCTGGTCTATTACATATATAAAATAATGTAATGCCTCTTTGCATAAAAAGGAAACCAGACTGTCTTCAGCGTTGCGTCTTTCTTGCATCTGGCGCATGCGCAGCTGATCTCTTTGAAGTATCAAATATATCTGCCTGCATGGGAGTAATTATCTTTCACGTGACCAATACTTCACCAGTGAGAATGGCCAGACCGGAAGATATCATTTGTTAATTGAGTATAAATCACGGACATAATCTCAGCACCGTCTCCAGCTCTGGGCATTAGGGGGCAGGGCCACAGTACAAACTAGGGGCATACAACCATAAAAAAACACACTTGTGGATAAGTTGTGCGCTTATGCTTTTTGCCCACTGGGGGAAGTTGCTCTCCACTCCCCCCCCCCCCCCCCGCCCCTTGGCAACGGGCCTGCGCACACAGTCCACCACCATAAATCAAACATTAAACAAAATTAACGATAATAACATTGGCGCCTTTTATTTCTCGGAATGAAAAAAAGACTTGGTTTTTTTTCAAAATAGATTGTATACCCACACCGAAAGAATGAGCAAATTGCAACTTAACCTGAATGCCAGGGCGTCAACCAAATTGAATTTCTGATGTTAGAAATCAAGACTGACAATATGACCGTGAGGGTCCTTGAATTGAGGCAAAGACATCGGCAAGATAAGATAACTATTTTTTTTATCTAGAGTATAGACTCGACGCTGGGACATTAAAAGATAGTCGATTAGCCTACTTATCAGACAAAATCAAAAGTGACAATTGACGTGACCGTGCCAATCCTTGACCTGCTATTAAACAGAAAATAAAGAATGTCCTGAAATAAGATTTTAAAATGTCAATCAGTCTTCTCAGTAAAGATGAAAGTGCGAGAAATGTCTTGATAGAACAAAAGGGTGATACGTTATGATATTTTCTTTTGCAAGATAAACATCATTTGGAAATAGTGCTGGATAGGTATAATTTAATTTATAGCAAGCGTTGAAAAATGAAATCAATGTCATTCCTGGCAATTTGAAGAAATGAAAAGTAGTTACATTTCACGATAAAAATAAACTAACTATATGTTTTCATACATTCTTTTTATGCAGTTTATTGGACATTAAAATTGCTTGGGAACATGCATGGAGACAAATTTAAAAGTATTGTGCAAGTGTAATAGTGACCATAATATGTCAGGGACCAATAGAATTGGTGCGCGTAAGGGAAATGCAGATCACATAAACATTTTGGGGGTTATTTTTACAGGCCCACAACATCTACATCTCACTGTTTGCCCACTGCCGACAGTGCCCAATAAAATAACCACGCGAAATGGTGATTTAATATATTTGTTTTCCACTGAGCCGCATACGTCTTTCGTCATTTCTAATGGTCCACATTAAGTCGTGACGAACGGAAACTTAACATTTTCGATCAACATTTTCGATCAAAGTTGTTGGTCAGAGTTATACGTGGTAATCTATACCGATGAAGTTCGAGAAAATCACATCAAGGTTGAGGTGTGGTAGTTGGGCGTAAAAGGAACACTTGGGTTTTTCTCTCGGGGGGGGGGGGGGTTAAAGGGAGTGTTTCATAAGTCCTTGGACTTCTTACAACTTCCTTATAACTTCTCTGCTTTTCATTTATTTTTGTTACTTATCTTTGTCATTTACTTATATGTTTTGTTTATCTATTAAGTTACGTACTTTATATGTTTTCATTATGAAGTTATGAAATAAAACTAGATTGATTGATTGATTGATTGATTGATTGATTGATTGATTGATTGATTGATTGATTGATTGATTGATTGATTGATTGATTGATTGATTGATTGATTGATTGATTGATTGATTGATTGATTGATTGATTGATTGATTGATTGATTGATTGAAATGGGTTTTCCGTAACTAACTCTCTCGTCTTCCTCTCATCTTCGGACAAGCCAAGAGACATTCTTTCATCATGTTATGGGATTTTAACCATGTTCCTGGATAAATAATCCACATTGAATTTCAATCCACGCGACGTGCTCTGATTCCAGAATGATGAATACAGCTGTCGTAGCGATGATGACACTTGTGGAAGTAGGCTAACCGTGTTTTGACTACAAATCGCGGTCGTACGTGGCTGGCGCGGGCGAGTGTGCAGCGCGGAGAGATGATTTAGGCCCGCTACGAGACAGGACTCAAAAGTCAGCCTGATTATGGTGCGATATGGTGTCGGAGTTATAAGAGGACGGAATGAAGCGGTGGATCTCTACGTAAGGGATAGGGGGTCTACCCCCTTCGCCCTCCTTGGGCCGCAAAAATAGGAAAAAAACATTCAGAAAACCATAGCATATGCCTGGTATAAGCCCTCCCCACTGTCTGCTAACCCTCCGTGGCAGCTTACCCCAAGGAGCACTGGGGGAACAAGTACTCACATCGCCCCCACCGCCACTATACTTACCTGTACCTCCAGTTCGTACATATCATAAACATTATACTTCAATTTTGAAGTGCAGTGCTGAGGGCCGTTCACCGTGACATCGACGTAAGCTCTCCTCTCGCGGTCTGATCCAGCTTTTGGCTCAAGAAGGGATGAGTTGGCAAGGGGGGGGGGACAGGGATGTGCTACTCTTTCTGCGTGATTTTCTATTTCTTGCGGCCCAATGGGATAGATTCGCTCGAGTCGAGTCGAGTCTTCTGATGAGGGACTCGAGTCGAGTCATTTGCTCGCAGTGACTCAGTCGAGTCGAGTCATTTACCCTTAGGCACTCAAGTTGAGTCGAGTCACCAACTGGAGTCGGACTCGAGTCGAGTCATTGACTCAAATCATAACAACTCTGCATGGGCGTAACTTGGGTTAATTTCGCGGGAGGGGAGCACTGGGGCTTAAATATTTTCAAGAGGGGGCACTTAATAGCTTTCAAAGAATCAAAAGTTCTTAAGCCTTCCCCAAATTCAGAGTAAATTATGGTGTACTATAGGAAGCAAGTTGGGAGCCCTTCCCCGCGTTCCTTCTTTCTTTAGTCACGTACAACATGTTCTTGTTATTTCCGAGTGTTGAAACCTAAGAGTGGTAAAGGGTCTACACCCTCCCTGTGAGAGTATTGTTTTGCCCTTTAGAAATAAGCACTGGCGAGATTTCGTTTGTTTTTATAACAGATAGAAACTTGGGCCTACGGCGATGTCTGTCGAAGAAGAGGCATGTGAAGCTGCTGTCATTTACTCTGAAAACAGCACCGCAAAAGAAAATTCAGGCCATGAACGTGTGAGGAATGACCTCACAAGAACTCTAATAAAGCGACCAATGATCACTAACAACAAAATGACATAGTTTGCTGTCAACAGGTCATGTATAGGCCCAACAGATGGACTGGTGGTATATAATGGTCCTTGAAGAGGTAATTATAATGGGTATATAATAGCCGGTCAATTTAGGTCGATCGAGGGTCAGTAAAGGGTCAATAATATGATTAAAGTGCATTTATTTATTCTAAAAATGGCATAATGTTTGGCCATTTCGTAGTACCTTGCATGTGTCTCATTTTGTGTAAAACACCGGTGATTTCACGATTATCGTGTTAAAATGCAAAACTGTCAATTTTAATTAATAAAACAAGCAACAGCTCAGCAAAATACTGAAAAGTGAGTTTTAAAATTACACAACCGGTGTCAAAAAATTGAATATGATTGAATATTCTATTTCATAGGCCATTTGATAAACATGTGTAAACATTATTTATAAAACATTCAAGAACAAAATGGTCGCACTGGCATTTTCAACAGCGAAAATTGTTCAGCGAAGATTAATTCGTTCTTGTTTGACATGTACACGTATATAGATGGAATCGAATGCTTTTGTTTCTCAGAAACTAAATGTTCCGAACGAGGAATGTCGATGGGAATTTTAATTCTTCCGTAGTGAGTGATCATAACCAACCTGGCGGCGCGGGGGACGGGTCGGCCTGACGCCGGTGACCATCTTCCCAACGCCATTAGGCCTACTTCTCCTCCAACTATATCATGCTGTATAGT